CACACACACACACACACACACACACACACACACACACACACACACAGCACAGATGGGGGGTGTTTACACTCGCAGTGAAACATAGTTTATCACATTACCTCAGTGGGCGTAGGAGAAAGCAGCTGGGGGGACTGCAAATGAAAATGAGGAGAAAGCCAATGATTAGGATGAACTCATATGTGAGGATTATATGAGTTAGCCTTCCAGCAACACAACCAATGGGTGACAAAAGATGAAGTGAACACAAAGTAAACAGCTCAAAGTTTTTTTTTCTCTCAGAAATAGGATGTGACTGCAGTGTTTAGGGTTAGCTGTGCTCGGGAAACAAACGTAGGATTGATGAACAGATTTTCTATCAGAAATGAGCGGGGATGATGGCGGAGGCAGTGCAAAAAGCAACACAATAATTATAGTTAAAGCAATAAGACCCAAGAAACTGATGATGACAGAGTAATATTTGGTATGTCTGTGTTTGCATGAACTACTTTATACAATTCTGTAGCCTGGAGTTGTTTTAGGACAGTAAAATCTGCTTTGGAACTGAGTTCACTCAAACTGTAATGAYGTTATGTTTTACATATAAACGTAAAATCATGTTAAGAATCAGACAAATAGTCGAGGGAGTCTGAAKCCATAACAGTCTTTATGATGTAGGAACTACTGACTAATGATTATCTACTTTTCTGCTTTGGAATCAGTGTCCATGGCCACTTTTTTACCATGATTTGGCTGAACGGCCAGGCCCATGCAGCTTGGGGGCTTGGGCAGTATGATGGCTCAGTGGTTACCATTAACGCCTCACCACAAGAAGGTCTTGGGTTTGATCCCTGGTTCGAACCTGTAGTCTTTCTGTGCAGAGTTTGCATGTTCTCCTYGYATTGTCTCGTGCTTGTGTGGGTTTTTGAGCAGTTTCCCCCCACAGACTAAAAACGTAGACTGCCTTCAAAATACCCTCTGGCCGAGAGTACTTGTCACTTAGCCTTGCTGTAGATGTCTAACTTGGTCACAATTTTCACTCTTAGGTCAGCTGTCCTCACTTCAGGTCTTCATGGTTTTTCATTGGGGCTTGGTATTCATATTCTGATGGTCAAAATCTAGGTATGATAGCAGATTTCTCACTCAAATGTTGCAACWCTGGGTCTGGAGTTGTTTCTGGATCAGTCTGGATGATTGGTATAAAACTTTCCATAGTTCCCACATCCTCTCGCTTGTTTGCATAGCACTACAAACAGTGTTAAGTTCTCTGCTGTTATCTACGAATGACTTGTTCCAAAAGTCCATTTCTCATCAGAATGTCCTGGTTCCCCAACATTAGACGTGGGCATTGTTAATACAGGCAACATCTGAGCTGACATGGCCTCATTATTTTGTCTCTCATAGTG